GACGGCGGCGAGTGCCGGCAGACCAGCAACTAATTGAGGATGGTGATGTGAAGGTGGGTGATGGTGGTGGTGTTGGTTGCCATTCATAGCACTTCCACCCCCACCTCCACTATTGGCATTGTTGAGTTGCTGTGATAAGGAGGCGGCGGCCATTGCGGCGACGGCAGTGTACGGTGAAGTCCAGCTCAGTGGGCTGATGGGCGAGGACAATGTTGAGGCGACAGAGTGATGATTTACCACACTTCCATTTTGACCATTACTGGCGTTGGCAGCAGCCGCAGCAAACGCCGATGAGAGTGCAGCGGCTCCGTGCGCCCCACGAAATGGATTGGAGCCCCTGTACGAGTTATGACCAGAAAGAAGAGGATTGGAGACGCTCAGTGCCGCTTGAATGGCCGCCGCAGTGGCCGCATCTGAGGTGATCAACGCCAGCTGCTCCTGTTGATGTTGTTGTTGCTGGTGTTGCTGTTTCAGCGATGACCGACCCTGTTTGGCAGACTGATGATGATTGTGGTTCGATTCAGCAGCACTGCCGATGAGGTGCTCAATGGAGAAGGACTGCTTCGGCGACTGCTTCTCTAGTGATGATGACTTAGACAGGTCGGATAGAACAGTGCTTCCTTTGATCAAACTATTATCACTATTATCTTTTCGGTGATCACCATTAGCAGCAGCGGCGGCGGCAGCGGCAGCCATAATTGCTTTATTTTTTGCCTTTTCTTCTTCAAAACTTTTCAGCTCATTGAGAACCTGGTTGATCTCCTCTTTGAGGTTCTTCTGCAGTTTGAAGCGTTTCCGTCGGCGGAGAAAGCTGCCATTCTCGAACATATCACCCGAGTTGGGATGTAGTGCCCAATAGCTGCCCTTGCCCGGCTTGTCCGGGCGGCGGGGAATCTTGATGAAGCAGTCGTTGAAGGAAAGGTTGTGACGCAGTGAGTTCTGCCACCGTTGGGTGTTCTTGCGATAGTACGGAAATCGCTGCATGATGAACTGGTAGATTTCATTCAGCGTCAGCATCTTCTCGTCTGAAGATTGTATGGCCATAAAGGTGAGCGATATATAAGAGTACGGCGGTTTCTGGTCGCCGTACGTGCTGCGACCCGGTCGAGGCATTGTCGTGGTCGCTGGTGGAGGAGGGGGAGAAGGGGTGAAAAGGTGTTGAGGGGGCGTTGAGGAAATCACGGTGATGGCAAGTGGTGAGGAGTGTTGAAAAAAGATAAAGCAAGTGTTTGGTTGTTGCAATAACGAGACAGTAAAGAAGAAGAAGAAGTAGAAGAAGAAGTGCACTTGCCAATGAAATGGCCACAGTTGAATTGACAAATAGAGATCAAGGTGGTGGTACACACTGACAAAGTTGACGGCGACGATTTAGAATGGCTGCAGCGACGGTGTCTCTGTCGATGTCGTGAAGATCACTGAACGAGTCAAGTAGTGTGCAGTAGTAAGAGTAGGAGTTAGGTAAAGCGCTGGCGGCGCACAAAGTGGCCAACAAACTCCGAGCAGTCTGGCAGCGGCGACGACAACGGCGGCAGAAAGAGCAGCGGCAGCGGCAGCTCATTCATCATGACACCTTGAGAGAGCTGTCGATGGATCGAATGGCGCTTTGTGTGTTTATGCCAACTGCACGGCACTTCACTTCTGTTCTGCTCTGCTGTTGTAGGTTTTGCAATGAGGCGTTCTTCCTTCTCGACTCGAGCCTGTTTGTTTTGTCCGCCACAGTTGCTACTTTCCAGTGCTGCTCTTCTCCGTCTCCTTTACTTCTCTTTCATTCTTTCCTTCTTTCTCTCAAAGCAGCAGCACTCGTCGTAGTCTTTGCAATCGAATTCTCTTAAGCGTTTTGCCTGAGCAAAGTACGCCAGCTTCAGAGCGAGAAAGAGAGAGAACTGTGAGCCTGCTTCGATCCAGACAGGACCTTTGGGCGGCACCAAAAGCGAAGAGCGAGTAGTGAAAGCTGCTAGCAGTGGGCAAGCATAGCCAATTACGGCCGCGCTTGTGCTCTCTGTTCTCTCTCTTTCTGCCAGCCACTGGAGAGGCCCACTGCAAGGACCACCTCTGTGTGTTTGCCATTCTCCACCACCACTGATGCTAGTTGAAGAGGAGAGAGCTTGTTTGCTCAAAAACCACTATGAACAGAGCAAACAGAGTGCTGAGGTGATGCCACCACCACCACCACCACCACCACCACTACCAACTACAACCACAACAGTGCAGCCAGTGATGACGCCCGATCCAAACTGGATCAATGCAAACTGGTGTTTGCTGCTATAAGCCAGCTTCACAGTAGGTTTGCTTATTGAAAGACAGTTTTAATAGTTAAAATTTGATTAGATTTTATATCAATGCCAAGGAATCATTTCTTTTATAATTTTAGCATTTAAGCACTGCATCATCATCATCATCATCTTCTTCATCAATTCCATTGACACCTTGCACATCAGTAAAAAATCTGTGCCAATGCAAATTTAGCCAGCATGCAGTGCATTCACTCACACACACTTATTTACATGTTTACCGACACTCTGTGATCTCTCCGTACTAGTTAACGCCGCAGTAATTGGCGCACATTGTCGGGCATTAGCATGGCAACTAATTAGCCTGTGTCATTTATCATTGCCGCCGCAGTGTGTTGTGAATGGTGAGCACTTACAAGTTGTGCAAGTTGTAATGATCGAGTGCAGTCAAGGAGTGCATCAGCAGCAGCAGCCCCCAATTGATGTATTTGCTGACGAACAGACAGCAGTATCATCAACGACAGCAAATAGCGATCTACTAGTAGTAGTCCGAGCGATTCGCTGCAGATTAATGCACAGAAAGAGAGAGAAAGAGAGAGAGAGNAGAGAGAGAGAGAGAGAGAGAGAGAGTGAGAGAGAGAGAGAGAGAGAGAAAGAGAAGGAGAAGGAGCATCAGTGCATCAAATAGCAATGGAGGGGGATGTTCATGCGGCGCCATGCGACGCCGATGACGACCACTACGACGTTGTCAGTGGTGCGAGTAGCACTCACTCGATTAATCCTGTGGTGCCCGTGGAGAAGTGCCTTTTGGCGGCGGCGGCATCAGCAGCGAAGCTAATGTACCACAAAATCGACTATATTTGGAACGGTCTGCTCAAACACTGCTGTGATATCAAACTCTTAACGCTTTGATAGCTAGTTAGCTTTGATTAATTTGCCTTGCTATAGCTTCTTCATCTTCAGCCTCTTCTTCCTCCTCCTCATCTCTTTGACTTGAGCTGTTGTGTCAGATGCTGCTGCTGTTGCATGATCGATTTTAATTTTAAATTTATATTCATGTGTCTGACTCTCTCAATGTGTGTGTGTGAGTGTGCACATTAATAGAATGGCACATGACGGTGCCGCTGCTGTTCGGTTCGGGAAGGGGCCAAGTTATTAGATTATTGCCGACAAGTGTAGCGTGTCAAAACATGCCGATTAAGTTGTTTCCGATAATAATGCCAGTCGCCTCAAGAGAGTAGTGCTGCGGTTACTGCTGCTGTTGCCGTTGCTGCGGTTCATTCAAATCATCCACTGCTCCAATACTTTACTGACAGAGACAGGCGAGTGGGGAGAGAGCGTGTAAAACGACTAAAGCGGCAAGCAGTACGACGTTTTCAATCGTACTGTTTGTAATGAGTTCACGCTGAAAAGAGAGAAATAAAAAGGCATCACTTTAATTAGCTGTTTTGCGGTATGATTTTGTTTTTGAGAAAAAGTGAACGCTGGACTCACTGATCATCTCTGCAAAGTAGTAGATTTGAAGTGTAATCAAAGTGTGGCCTCCACACTTGATTTAGAAAACTGTTTGCCAATTGCTATTTTCTCTTTTGTCAAATCTTCTGGCAAAATACGTCATCTTCAACAGCATCAGCTGAAGCATCGACGTTGAGTGGCTCAGAGCAGCAATCAGCAGTAGTAGTCAACTTGTAGTTCAGTCACTCTTGATATCATGACAGTGCTGCTGATGCTGATGTGGTGGTGGTGCCGGTGATGGTGGCACGGTCAATTGTCATCCGGTGATTGCTGTTGCTGCTTCTTCTGCTGCAAGAACTGCTCTCAGTCCGTCTCTGTCTCTTCTTCGTTCATCTTAGCAGACAGTCACAGACAGGGTCTTTGTTTTTATGGTTCACTTGTCACTTTCTCAGTGGCAAATCAAATTACAGCACTAGCGCGAAGAAACACAGTGAAAACACATTTGTCGCCACTGAATGGCTGCCGTCAGTGGAGTACATCATCAGTGTGCTGTCTTTTCTTTGCCACTACCACATTTTGGTGTAGTGTAAACGGGAAAAGGACTCCAAACAATGGTGCGCCTCGGCGGGAACGCGTGTCCATAGAACCAGCACCACCACCACCACCCAGACACAATCATGGAGCGAGAGAACAGAAAAAGAAAGAGAACAATCTTCAATCTTTGCCAATCGACAATCACTTGCAATCTGCCATCTTGTATTCCATTTCGATCTTTCTATGGTTTCTTCCAAATCATTCATTGTTCCGTTATAGATCGAGCAGTGTTTAATTTGAGAGCATGCTGCTGCCATCATTTCATTTCGACTCTCTGTTTGCCGACTTCGTTCATCTCGCAAAAAGTCGATCATCGATTTTTCGGTGGTGAGTCAAGCACACACACACAGACTGAGTGACTGACTGCTAGGGAGCACTTTGTCAGTATATGGTGCAAGTAAAACAAAGGCACCGATGGGGCCGAGATATGATCGCCTGCCTAGTGCTGCATTCTAATGCGAATATGCAAATGAGGACATGGCTGATTTTCGGCCACTAGCCGACGCGCCTATACAGCTAACACAATTGACTCGCTCCTTCTCTCTCTCCTTGATAGATCTAATTTTATATTACGGGCGCAATTCAAATATTTAGAATGAAACACTGCTATTGCTCATAAAGATAAATTAACTCGCTCACTGGCAAATTGGCTGCAGAGAAGAGTCTGTGCACTCCACTTTACTCGTGTCTGCTCATCGCTCAAGAGTAATGACCACAGACACACACACACACACAGGCACTGAAGGACGAAGAACGGAAGAACGGAAGAAGCTCTGAACAGGGCTGGACTGGATGGACTGAATTAATTTGACATTGTAAATTACTTGCAAAAATGTAATTACTTGACGCCATTGGAGCGCAAATATTTACCGATGCTGTACAGTGAAGTCTGATGCACATTAACATCTTCAAACGAGCTCAGAGGCGAGCGCGCACAATCGAGAGGCAAGTCAAGTTGGAAGTGCCACTGATTCCCAATTTTATAAGTGGATTCTTTTGTTACAGTTCGATTAGTCGGCTTAATTTTGTCTGTTGTTGATTTATAGCCGTTTTAAAATGACTACTAACTACCTGATGTGTACTTGATGTAGATGATGTCCTCAAGGTAGAGAAGACATCAAGTTCTTTAGTGAGAGAAAAACGACTGCTCTTGGGGTAAATAGTGCTAACTGATGATTCTGTTCTTGGGCAAAAAAGAATCATCATCATTTTGCATCATTCCCACACAGAGGCAGACACACACAGATTGTCTGTTTGACAAGCGCGTCCTTTGATCTTGGCGCACACTTGTGCAGGCGCGAAGAGGAGGAGGAGAAGAAGAAGGACCACGATGATCACACAGATGTGTACTTGTGTCTTCTCCTAATGGTCGACAAAATTAATTAGCAAGAAAGCAGGCAGACAGGTAGTTTCAGCGGCGGCAATGGTGTGCATTTGTATGCTAATCGCCGTCACTACTGAGCTGGGAGAAAATTAATTTAAATAACACAGTGGCTTCTTCTTCTTCCTCCACTACTTCTCGTCGTCGGCGGCTGCTAATTCGCTGGCCCGTGTTGAGTAGCCCTCAACGCTAGGCAAATATTGAAACAAAAGCGCTTAATGCGCCAGTAATTCGCTGGTTGTGTCTCAGTCTCTGTCTCTTCTTCTGTGACAGCTGACAGTGACTCGGTGACTGTTGCCTGACAACGACTACGAAAACAACTACAATGTCAGTAAAGCGTTCAAAATGACACCTTCTTTCAGTGGTGGTGATGGCAGACTAGAAAAAGAGGGAGCAGGGCAGCTACCTGTCTGCGCTGTACAGCACTTTCGTAATTGCCCAAATGTAGCAGA